CCAATATCTAAAGTTAATACCTCCATCAGTCACACTAGCATTCACTGTGGTAATTTGAACTCACATTGAAGAAAATCCATTGTTTTGTTATTCTTGCAAATTTTAATTGCATTTTTCAGTTGGTTTTCCTTGAAGATTAATCCTATCTTATAAAGAATTGTCACTTAATAGTCGCTCAGGGAATAAGGAAATGAGGTTAGACAGAGTGGGGGCTGCAGCATTATGTAAATGCTGTAGAATGACTCTATGTATGCACTTTTTTACATTCGACTCACACAATTTAGCAACGTTGGGCCCGTGCTTGCACGGGCAACTCTTGCCTAGTGATATGAGAAGACTAAAAAAACAATGTAAAGATATAAACCAATAGATATTTGATGGTTCATTGGTTTGTCTCTTTCCATAAATTTTCCATTTTGTTCACCATTGTTCATATAGCCTTTAACTGAAATGTATCTTAACTTGTGCTCCAGATTTTGTCTCTCTCACTCAATAATGCCTCTCTATATTTTGTACAAATCTTTCTCCTCAATCAAATTTGAAAAACTCCTATTACATTGAGTATTTGTCCAATTGCTACGCTTTTTGTTTCGCCATATCCAATACCTGCATTGAAGTCCAATTAGTATGAGTTCACACCTATTTATAAGAGTAAAAGTGACGTACCGATTTTCATTCTCACACATCGAACTCGAGATCTTTAAGGAACCTTAATCATCCCACTACAATCTATGTTGATTAATTGAGAGTTTGAAATATTTACTAAAACACAAATATAGATAGTCGACCTGAAGTGAATGAGTTTTGTGGAAACCAAACACTTTTGTAGAATTGTGGCTCCTACCCCGCTATGAATGGTGTAGAAAGTACCATTTGTGGAGTGAGTGGACCAATTCTGTTAGAAGAAAAAGTAGTCCAAAAGGAATTCTCTAATGGACCCCTTACAATTTTGTTAGAAGAAAAAGTAGTCCAAAAGGAATTCTCTAATGGACCCCTTACGATACAACACACATCTTGAAAATAAATTTTTTTCTTAAAAGAGTGAAAATCAAGTATGCGAAGGGGAAATTCAACAGATACCAATCATTCATATACAGTCACCTTTTTGTCATTATAAAAACACAATAAGACAAGGCTGAATTTAAGGGGAAATTGCTTATCTTTTGGCTCTTCATACCCCAATCAGCCAATCATCTTTAGCTTATAATATTGTTATAATTAATATACTGTAGCTAACATGCTTTAGGTTTTAGGTTATTGATATTCCCACATGCACTGTGCTACTAAGTCATGCATCTCAATAATGCATGGAATCTTAAACAAGAAGGGCATTGCTAAACAGAAATGCTTCAACTGATAGAAATATTTTTGGAATTTGCTGTCGATGTTTTATTTTATTCCAAAAACACCAAATTAATCTATTGAAAACGATTATCTTGATTTAAAAGCATTTTTGGGCGTAACTTCCGTTTCCAGGTTGAAAAGTTTCTGGGAAACAAGGGGCAAAAGTCTTAACTATAAAGCAGTGACGTACCGATGCTATCTAATAAGTTTGGCATTATTTGGAAGGGTAACAGCCAAATCCATTACTATTTACCATAAAAATGCTCACGGAGTAAGATAAATCTCTGGAAAGCAAAAAGAGAGAGAGTTGCTAGGGCGCTAATCTCATTGCGAAATATTGACCAAACTAAGTCATGATATAAAGTAATTTATCAAAATAATATGTTTGTTTAAAATTTAACAAAACTAGTATAAACGTATTTCATATTAACGTTTTAGGATATATTTTATTTTTTAAAAGCTAACGGCGTTAGATTGATATATGTTACTCATAGTAACATTTTACTTCTAAAACGTCCTTCACAGTAACGTTTTAGGAGTAAAAAGTTACTCAAAAAACCATTTTAGGAGTAAAACGTTACTCACAGTAACGTATATCAACCTAACGTTGTTAGTTTTTAAAAAATGAAATGTACCCTAAAACGTTACTGTGAAATACGTTTATACTAAATTTGTAAAATTTTAAAATAATATGTTACTTTGGTAAGTTGTTTTATATAATGACTTAGTTCGGTAGAAAAATTCGATGAGAGCCATGCTCTTTGCAGCTTTTTCATGGACAATATTATCAGGAAGTACAAGCTTGGGAGGTGTTTCACGCACAACACCAATCATAGAATTATATTCCTCATCACATTTGGCACGAAACATCTTTTCAAATTCAATTTCGTCAAAGGACTTGGAATTCTCAGCTGCATGGACACGAGCAAGGTTACAGTAGTTGGTTTGCTGACTGAGCAATGAAGGCTATCTCTTCATCAGTTAGCTTCCTCAGAAACTTAGCGGGATTGCCTGCCCATATCTATGTCATATAGATTCATGATTAGATATGAGCCTCTTAAATCATACCTATTTGCAGAAGAAGCCAATCATGATGTAGCTTCATGCTGAGTGTTAAATCCAGCAATTCACCAAACTGATTCATAATGGAATGAGAACAAAAGATGTAACTTGGTAGACTTATGAAATGTTTGAGAGTCTTAAAAATCCTTCGAACCCCAATGATAGCACATAGTTAAAATAGTGGGATAACTCAAATTTTGGAGGAAAATCAAACGAGTCAAGTCATAAGTTGGGTGTCAAAGTTTTGATCTCATATTCACATTACTTGTGACTTTGTAACATATAAGTAACACTATTCTATCGGACCTTTTCCGAATAGCATAGCAAGCAAAATAAATAAAATTGCATAAGAAGCTGCTTTCTTCACCTACTCTTTTTCTTTAGGAAGAAACGAGATTTCCCCTTGAACCCTTGTTCTTCCCTAAACCCATTATGTATTGAAATTCTATGGTAATTTTGGAAGATCGAGAGTATTTGATTATGTGGAATATTAATTTCTATGTATTACTCCTTGAATTTACCTTGTTTATGCATTGGTTATGTATTCCATGGTAATTGAAGTATGAAGGCAAAGAAAGGGCAATAATGTATGAAGATTGATTCTTCTTGAATTCAATAATAAAATATGAGTTTCTTAGATAGTAATACTCTTATGCCTAATGTGTGGTTGTGATGTTGATGATAAGTATGCCTCATCCTTACCACTAGACAA